AGATAAATAAAGGGATCAAAGGGCTTTTTGATCGGAAAAATAGAAGGGGCATGGTTGGTGTGTCACTAGGCTTGTGAGGGAACCCACGGAAGAGGTAAATTAAAACCACTCCATAGTTGTTCGTCCACATTATACCCAAATAGCAAAGAAAAATGCTCCATTGCCGAAGATTTGATTTCTGTTAAAGAACCCTACCACGTGCCGTCCTCCTTTTTAATCTGAGCGATGAAGTTCCTATATCTATTTTGTCTAATAGCCATGTGTAAAAATGCAGTATTCGTATCCATAGGGGCATTAAATTTGGGCCTGCGTCAGATACAGTGGCGTAGCAAGAACTGTACTATCTCTCTTTGCGTCCCCCTTTTTTGTTTGAAAAATTTTTAGTGTGTTTCGATTGTTAAATTATTTTACATAATTTTCCCTTATATTATAAATATATATTTTAATTAATTTTTTATATTTTTAATTATTCTTTTATTTCACATATATTACATTATAAAAGTACTATAGTAATTATTCAAAATAATATTTCAAATAATACTTTATCCAAACACATTGAGGTGGAATGACCTATGTAAACCAAAAGAACATTGTTGGAATTAGAATATGTTCATTTGGGAACTAAAATGAAATTTCTAATAATTTTCCCTCTACAGTTGACGAATAATGGGTTCCTTGTTTAATAGACCATGGGCCTGTGATGGAACTAAGACTGAAAGTTCAAACACTTTTTTCACATGCTTCTTCTGTTGCCTCAACTCTAAAAGCCTCAGAAAGATCGGAAGAAGATACGAACACTGGTATCATGCCTTTTGAAAGAAGGGCAACTCATGTGAATTGGCATCGAGAGCATTCCGCCAGTTTTCGGTGACTTTTCACTTTCAACCCGATTCACCGCCTACAAACTCAAGTATTGCTCGAGCCAAAATAGTAAAGTTCAAATTCAAGTTCCAACTCGACTCCTTTATTATTTTAGTTTACTTGAGGTCAAATTCTAGTTTGATCTAAGTTAATTAAATTCCATTAAACTTCGGCAATATAAATAAATACTTTATATCTTTTAATTAGGGATACAATGGATAATTTACATTACTAGATTTAAAAATTGAAAAACATTACATCAGGTACACTACGGTCGGATCCATTAAACCATTTGAATTGTCTCAAGTTGATACCTTATCTATTGTAAGTATCAAATTGGCCCATTAGAAATAAAAAGTATCAAATTTTAATACTTCATTCTATTTCCACCATTGAATACTTCCAAAAATTTTACCCTTAGATCCATTAGATTTAACGGGAAAGATAGACTGAACCATCAGAATATGACGCTTTTTTTTTGTTGAAAAACCGATTTGAGATTTAAAATAGATAGGGGTTAATTTGAGATAATTAAGACAATTTAAAGGTTTCGTAAATAGTTTTTCGTTATATATCTATGAAGTTCAAATAAGTTCGATGACCTTTTGAATCTCACATATATATTTGCTCAAACTTGAGTCTAAAAAATAGAATCTAATGCAAATCATATTCCTTTTTTCTTTAAAAAATGGGATATGATCCAATCCATATTTATTTTTACTACTAAAAATGTGGAATTTGACTCTAGTACATAAAAAAATGAATACATATAGATCACGTAGTGATTTCAGACTAAAAATTGGTCAAAAATTTAAGTTGTTGACCAAATTTTGCTAAGTTAAATTTGTAAAGGACATAAAATTAACATTTTAAAAGTAAAGAACGGAAAAATTTGTGGCAGAAATTTTATGTAGTAAGTTGGATTTCAGTTATAAATCTTGAACTTGAACCCTAATGTTAGCATTAGTAATATCAAATGTCTATGTTTAGCTATTTGAACTATTTGAATTACTCAATCTCTATCAACACGAATTCAAACTAGATTTGAATTTGGTCAAAATTCAACCAAGTAAACTCGCAACAAACTAGATTAAGCTCGATTTATCTGCAATAGGCTGGAAAATAAAAAATAATAAAAAAAGTGGCGCATGCGTGTTGCATGGCACCCAATAATTGTAAACTGACAAACGACTGCATCGCATGCCTAAAAGCCATATGCATATTATATAGTGGAAACGTGGTCTACCATACTAATAAATCTAAACCAGTTATAGTCCTTCAGGCTCCAACCTTATTACTACTACCTTAATTGTCCAAAAAAAAAAAATTACTACTGTCTGATCCTCTGTTTTGCTCTGTTGCAGTAGCATTCGATATCATACAACAACCAACACCACCATTCCCTTCAGTGTAATTATTTTACAACTATATGCAGCAATCATTGTTGGATTTGGTATATTACTATAATTCTTCTTTCAGCTGCTTAGCACAACAAATTATCAAGACACAGAGGAAGACGATCAGATCAGATTACAAGATTACAAGACTACAACGATATAGATTAAGTTTCAAGTAGTTGAAAGCATTTGTCTCTTCCACACAGGGAAAGCCAATTCAAGTTCCCATCGTAATCATCAAGTGTGGTGATAATGTCAACCCGCAATAGCTCCAATATCATAACTTGCAAAAGTACTGAAGCCACTACTGATTGATTGGCTCCTAGCTAAAATAATGCAATCTGTATACAATTGTCATTGTTTCACACTTCACGTGTGAATTGGTGGATTTCTCATTGTTGCTGCTCCCCTAAGTCCTTTCTTTAATATACTTTTTATCTATTTTTGGGCAATACAAGGAATTGCCTACTCGTTACTTGTTAGTTCTCTTGTGCTGTTTTTCTCTCTGTATCCCCAAATATCACAGTATGCCATTTAAGGTTTAATTGATGATGCTCCCCCCGCCAATTACACACCCTCCTCCTCTCCCACAAAAAAAAAAACAGGCGTTGTTTGCTGGGGAAAAGGTGAGGCACCCAAGGTAGAAGAGATAGAGGTGGAACCTCCAAGGTCAGGTGAAGTTAGGGTAAAGATGTTATTTGCCAGCCTCTGCCACACTGATGTCTTATGCTGCAATGGCTTTCCAACAGTTACTACACTTTCTTTACTCCTTATCCACCTTTTTTTTGGTAGTCTTCTTTTCTGATTTTTAACTCAGCTCTCTTTCTTTCTCACTTGTTTTGTCGAGTTCTGGGACATGAAGGTGTCGGGTAATCAATTCCTCTCCCAGTCTCTCTTTTGTTCTCGCATTTTGCTTCAGTAATTTCAGTTTCAATTTTCAAATTTCGGAATTCAGTTATAAAATAACGACCAAATAGAGCTGAATAGTAATCCCTTTCATCTTCTTTCTAGCCAGATAGAGAGTGTCGGTGAAGGAGTCTCTTACCTCAAAGTGGGAGACATGGTCATTCCTACATACTTGGGGGAGTGTCAAGAATGCAACAACTGTATTTTCGGAAAGACCAACCTATGCGAGACCTACCCTTTACAAGTTTTCACCGGATTAATGCCAGACGGTACGTCAAGAATGTCCATTATAACTTCAGGTAGCTGCCAAAAGCTGTACCAATTTCTTAGCTGCTCCACATGGTCCCAGTATACCATTGTAGATGCTAAATATGTCGTGAAGATGGATTCACGGCTATCTCTGCCACATGCTAGCTTCCTGTCCTGCGGCTTCACCACTGGGTTTGGAGCAACCTGGAAAGAAGCCAAGGTTGAAAAAAGGTTCTACCGTAGCTATTTTCAATCTTGGCGCTGTTGGACTGGGAGTAAGTGCAACATCAACATGCCAAATATTAGGACGAGGGACAGGTACGGTTAGGATTTCGTGTAGTTCCAACGGTTGTCATTCTTCTTACATAATTTGGTGTACCACCAAATAACCTTGGTGTACTTGTAAATTTTTTTCATGCACATCAACTCAATGTGTAAATACAACTTGGTACACCAATGTATGAAGAAGTACAACAACCTCATTTAACTGCACGAAACACAATCGTATCTATCCCAATGGATCCTTCCTCAATCTGTCCTGCTCTTCTCATAGGACCTAACTTTCCAATGCAATGCAGGCAGTTGAGGTTGCCCGAGTGCATGGAGCAGCACAAATTATAGGCATTGACATCAACAAAGGCAAGTGCGAAAAGAGGGAGGCTTTTGGAATGACACATTATATAAATCCCAAAGCCATTGGTGATAAATCCATCTCAGAAATGGTAAAAGAGCTGACTAATGGATTAGGAGTGGACTACAGCTTTGAGTGCACAAGGGTCTCTCACTTAGTTAACGAAGCTCTGGAAAGTACCAAAGTGGTAAATAACTGTCCCATAACACAACCATGTAGTATAGTATTTGAAACTGCTACTAATTCCAAGTTACCTTTTTCCTAGTGATTTGCTATCAGGGAGTAGGGAAAACGACAATCACTACAAGAAAACTGACTTTTCATGACGCTAGAATTGTGCTGTAAAAAGTCAAAAAACTGCCGCGAAAACCTTTTTGCGGCACAAATGCAACGGAATTAAATTGTGTCACAAAAGTAGCCGTGGCACAAATGCGACGGAATTAAATTGTGTCACAAAAGTAGCCGTTACAAAAGAAAACGACACAATTTTTCAATATGTCGCATGCATTTGCATCGCTCTTTGCGACACCAATGTGAGTGTCACCACTCTACTTGCGGCACAAAAAATGCGCTACAAAATGTCCACAATGTCATGCGACAAAAACTTGCGTCGCAAAAAAGTCACCAATATAAAGGCCAGAAATCAATTTTTTCATGGTACAATAGTTATCATGCTCAAATATCCTAAAATCGAATATTATAACAAAATATAGTTCCATAATATACTAGAATAAAGTATCATACATTGTTTTAGTCAAATTCTACAAACTTTATCATTTAATATTGTTCGCTCCAATTACAAGATGTTTCATATATTCCAAAATGTGCTTGTCTTCAAAAGTACAACACTTCATCATACATCTCTCAAAAACATCTTCATATCTCCCAATCCGCGTGCTTCCAACGTACCATCCATCCCCATTTGAACCAAACCATGAAACCAACTCCACATTTAACATCAAGTCCAGGGCTGCAAAGTGTATTCTATTAGTCCCTTGCTCATATAACCCCAGCTCATTAAGCATGAAGAAAACGTTAATATAACAATAGATACTGAAACGGAATTTGTAATTCAATTCTAACATCAAGAAAACCACCAAAAAAAAAGGAAAAAAAGGGGAAAAAAACCCATACTTCAACCCTTTCACAGACATTGAAAATTAAGACCACTTCTACTACATTATGTCCCATAAATAGCTTGACAGAATAGAGTTATTTCCAGAAACTTTTCCAGTACCTCAAGCAAGTCGTTTGCAAGTAGTCCTGCTCCTTTTCTTCTTTGTATGGTGGTTCTGGTATAACAAAAGACTAGCCAATTAAATATCAACAAGGAGCTCATGCACAAATAGTCATCAACAAGGGACTCATGCACAATTCAATATCAACAAGGAACTCAGCAAAATTGGTCTTCTATAGAAGGACCAACTCAAAGTACGCATATTATACCTCAAGAATATCAGCAATTGAAGAAACTTTTTTATTCATTTCACACTTGTTTATTTCAGCATCATTTGTTCCAACTTCCTTGTACATTTCAGCATCATTTGTTCCAAATTCCTTGTTCATACCAACCTGTTACATTATCAACAAAGTGTGAAGAAAAGAAAATCAGGCCAGAGCTGCTGATATTTCAGAGAGTTTGAACACAAAATCGAATTGTATGATTAATATACAACCTCTAATGAGTCCGAAATTTGAGATTGTTTTGCTGCATTCATTTCTCTTCTTTGGAGTGATGCCAAGTCACATGTTGATGCCCCCTGGAAGAACAAAGATAAACAGTAACTAAAGCAATAAAAAAAATTAGAAAAACTATAATATTTAACCAAATAGTTATCCCAAACCATTCTTGCTTCAAATTGAGCAATCAACTCCTCCTTAAAATCTGCCAATTTTGAATTCATTTCTTCTCGTAGTTCACCACGTATGATTTCCACTTTCTCATTCACTGCATCCTCAAATGCTTTCTTTTGTCCAGCATTCATGTTATCCGACATCCTATACACGCCTTTTGGAGTTGCACCTACCCCATAAGTTCGAAGACGACCTGGTTTTTCAGGTCCAAGAATATTTTCATAGAGTATATCTTTTAGAAAATTATCATCCCTGGATGTCTTTGGCAGTTTTTGTATTTCCTCATTCATAGTTGCCTAAATTGAAAAACAGACAGAAGAAAGAATTATTTATGAAGTAAAACCAATAAAAAGTGACTAAAAGCTATTCTTACAATTGTTTGTGAAGTCAACTCATCCATTTGTTTTCCTTGTCTTGAATGAATAAAAACGTCTAGTTTCGAAGGCTCTTTTCCAGTTTTAATCCGAAGCTGCCACATATTCAATGTACAAGCTAAAGTGTTAATATTTCTAAATAAGACTATTTTCCAGATAAAATTGCTAGAAACATAAGCATTAGAATTTAATATACCTCTTCCCTGAGGTTCACATGATCTTTTCGCCCTGTTCGATGTGGCATCTTTTGTTTTTTTTTTCGATTCTTGCTATTAGTCTTGCTTTGCTTCTAATTATGTACAAAATAGAAAAAGGTAGTTAACAACACATCAAAATCATAATAGCACTAGAATTTAATTCAAAAGCAAAAGAGATGTGACAATAAATACATGCCTTGACATCTTCTGAGCTCCAATAATCAACCAAAATAGGCCATTGATCCTCCTCAACTCTTGCAGGACAGTGTGCTAATAGCCATGACCTGTGCCTCCTATAAGGAGTGAAATACATGCTCTTGACTTTTGATTTCCAATTTCTCCACAATTTGCTGACCCTCATCATTTGTACTTTCTTGCATGTATCATCAATATTTGTGTTTCTCTATAAAAAATTACAAAACAAAAGTTTAAACATTCACAAGCTACAAGATTGTATGAAATAAAAAGAAAAAAATGTTGCTAACTTTGATGGTGAGTCAAAATACCTTAATATCTTCCCAAAATCTTTCCTTAGATCCTTCAGGCATGGCCCTCCAATCTTCTCAAGTTCACAAAGGGCCAGTGGAGTACGGTCCTCCAAAGTTTTACAATCTGCTACGGTAAGCACTTTCGAGTATAATTGCCTAAATATATCTCGTAACTCAATGATAATTCTGCAAACATGTTTAGGCAATATTCTTCTCACAGCAATGGATAAAATTGTTGCATTAATACGTGAAAATCATGACTCTTTAACCCAGAGATTTGTCGTTCTTTAATATTCACACACCTCGAAATGTTTGATGCATAACCATCAGGGACCTTGATAGTTTTTAGCACATTACAAAAAATTTCTTTTTCATCTTTTCTCATTGTGAAGCATACAGGTGGAAGAAACACTTTGTCACCCTTAGATTGTGGGTGAAGTGCCTTTCTTATCCCCATTTCTTTTAGATCATATCGAGCATTAATGTCATCATTTGTCTTGCCCATCCCCAACAGTGTCCACAAGAGATTCTCCAAGAAATTCTTCTCAATATGCATTATATCCAGATTATGTGGAAGCAAATTATCCACCCAATACGGTAACTGAAAGAATATATTCAATCTTTTCCAATTATACCTACATATGGGACTTTGTGCAGAGTCACTATTATCTTTAGTCCTCCTTTTCCTTTTCTTAGCTGAGGAAACTGGTTGATCCTTTCCAAATTCATTTCTAAAATCTCTTAGTTGTTCTAAAATTTCAAACCCATATAATTGAACAGGTCTAGAATGTTTCTCAATTGTCCCATCAAACTGTGCTCAATTTAAACGATAAGGATGATCAATAGCTAGAAATCGACGATGACCCAAATAGCAATGTTTTTTGCTATGTATCAACCATTGACTTCGAACATCTTTATTACAACAAGGGCATGTATACTTTCCTTTGGTACTCCAACCAGATGGATTTCCATAAGCTGGAAAATCATTGATAGTCCAAAGTAGTGCAACACGTAAGTAAAACATTTGCTTACTAGCTGCATCATAAGTAGGCACCCCTGGATCCCAAAACTCATTCAATTCATCAATTACTGGTTGAAGATATATGTGAATATCATTACCTGGAGCTTTAGGCCCATCAATTAGCAAACACAACATAAATGATGTTTGCTTCATGCACATCCATGAGGGTAAATTATATGGCACTAAAATCACTGGCCAGGTACTGTATTTATTGTTCATTGCCTTGAATGGGTTAAATCCATCTGCTGCAAGTCCAAGACGAACATTGCGAGGATCACTAGCAAAGCTTGGGTGCCGGTCATTAAAATGCTTCCAAGCTAAAGAGTCTGCCGGATGCCTCAATTTTCCATCCTTGATGCACTCCTCTTCATGTCATCTCATTAATGAAGCAGTTTTTGATGACATGAACAGCCTTTGGAGACGTGGTTTCAAAGGAAAATAGCGAACAAGCTTTGCTGGAACTTTGTTAGCTTGTTCACTTGAATCATCGGATTGTTTTACAATTTGCTTATACCTAGGAGTTCCACACTTTCTGCAAAAGGTTTCATGTTCTGTCTCCTTCCAATAAATCAAGCAATCGTTGGGGCATGCAAGAATTTTATGGTAGCTAAGACCCAAGTCTTTAACAATCTTCCAAGCATCACGATAAGAGCTTGGAAATAATTCATTCTCAGGAAAAACTTCCTTGAGAAGCTCCAGTAATATTGTCATTGAGTTGTTGCTCCATCGACAACGGACTTGACATGCAACAACTTGATGACAAATGATAGAAGAGTAAAATTTTTACATCCAGGGTATAACTCTGTTTCGGCATGCTTCAGCAACTTAAAAAACTTATTAGTCTCTTCATCACAAGCTCCTCTAAGTTCTTCTAAATTTATGTTAGAATTCTCTTCAAGTGTTCTTCCAAGTGTTTCGTGAATCAATTCATTCATGTCATCATTTTCAGTGTGCCTAAACACTCCATTGTTCATATTTTCTTGATTGAAGTCCCATGGATCTTTACCATGATAAATCCAATTTGTATAAGTGGTCAAAAACCCCTTCATTGTTACATGTGCACGCACAGTTTCTTCCTTTCTTCGTTCTGAGTTTTTACATCGCCTACATGGGCAATATATTCTACTCCCAACCTCCTTCTTTTTGTAGGCAAATTTAAGGAAGTCACTCAGACACTTTTCAAAGTATGGATTATTGACTCGGTTTTCAATAAAGATCCAAGACCTATCATCCATTCTACAAGAAACAAGATTGAGAAGGCAAGAAAAGAGACCTTATAAATAGAATTGAAAAATAGCAAACTCATTAACATGCCAAAAAATAAAAAATAAAGTGCAACATGTGCATCCCAGTTTGCTATGCTTATAGTGGAAGTATAAGTTCATGAAAAATGGATAAACTGATTAAGAAAGAAATTAATTTACCATAATGGCCAAATTTTTTAAAAGATTCAATCAGCCTCATGACCAACAAAATACCAAAGATTCAATCTGTTTGAGCCATAGCAGAAAAAGATTCTTTTGTTTACAACTCCAACTAGCTATACAACTAGTCAACTTGGACACTTGGGATTTGCATAAATGCCTTTGAATAATATTATCTTAGCAAAGGTATAGTTTTAACTCTTAAAAAAAATCACTTGCTAAGTCCAGCTGACTCACAAATAAGAGAACTTATTCTTTGATGACAATGAAATAGGATGACAAGAATGGCCATCATGTTCTATTTCTCTCTCATTCTGCTAATTCTAAAATTATAAAAGTAACAATCTATTAATTAAAAGCTTCACTTACTAAATCCAGTAAGTGCAAGTGATTCAGTTGTCCTTAAGTATTAAGTTTTGGTTAAGATGAACTCTATTGATTTATTTTTAGATTATGTATTTGAGTTCATTGTTTGGCCAAGCTTAATTTGTCTTGTCTTGAAATCAGGCTTGGCATTTAGTCCCTATCTTGGCTTGCACTATCCTAATTTTAGCTTCGTGTATCGGGTTCAAGCACTTGCTAACTTGATAGCTTTAGTAATGTTGGTTAACATCCAATTTTCTTCATATTGCTTCTTTATCTGCATGACTTGTAGTTGTCTTTATTAATTTGAGATTTCATAACAGTCTGAAAGTTTTAGGTTGGTACTGATCATATTATTTCACAACAAAAGGCTTTCTAGAAGATGAACTCCAGCTTGCTTCACATGCATAAAGAAGAAAAGAAAAGGCAAGTTCAACAGAACAGAACACATGAAACATGGCAGGGCCTTAGAAATATATTTCTCCTGCATTGTCTGAAAATTGGGTGGAACCTTGTATTACATACATGTGATGTATACAATAAGGTTCCTAATACTATTAACCAGAATTATAGAAGAAGAGTCATTGACCAAAGATAAACGACAATAGGTCAAGCAAAACTGACAAGCCAATATGGTCCAAAAAATGTGTAAACCAGAATTCGTGCTTAAATTGACACAATCTTTTGGCCAAGTCAATATTTATGTCAACAATGATCTTTTCCCACACAGTACATAGCCAGTTATTACTACATGGTCAAGCAAATATCATAACCAATTATTATTACATGGTCAAGCAAATATCATAATGTAACAATTTACTTTACC